GTAGGTAGCATCTCCCAAGTATCGTAAAACTTGCCGCTCCCTTGGGAAAACTGGGCTGGTTGCCTTTCTTGGGCTTTGGACTTTCTGGAGGGAATAAAGTGTCCAAATCGTAAAAAAATTATCTGATGCCTAAGTTAACCACTTATAAGGAAAAGAATGAGATTTTCCAGATTTCTTAAGGCATTTGATAAACTCACAAAATCTGCATTTTTAAAGTTCCCCTTCACAATCAGAACAGAGACTTACTCGATTTGTAAATTAAAAAGTTCCCTATAATCAACTTCTCATCATCACCAAATTTGATTATTCAGTTAGAAATATGTATATATTTGCAATGTCTTTACAGCCTACTTTTCCTGCTCTTATAAATCTTTATAAAACTGGTTTGCCTTAATATCAACACCTTTGTACTGATCGTTTAGACCATCGTATATCATTGTTTAAGAGAAAGGCCATACAACTCCAATTGATTTTTTTATGCTAAATCCCATTGTGATTCTGCAGAGCTGAAAGAACCCACAGGTTCAGATTTTACAAGGGCCTGGCATGATATATTGCCGAATACATTTCTTGTACAAAAATGTTCAATAATACAGATAAATATTTTTGAAAAAACTGTACAAGCCAGTGAGAAAATACTTTCCATAGCAAGTCTTCATTGTTTCCTTTTAATACTAGTCTCTGATGTGTCAGTAGGAATCACAAAGATAACAATTACAGGCAGAATGCAGATACAAAATAGGATGTATACACTATTTGCATATCATTACCATATGTATTGTGTTTTGTACACAATCATTGTATATATTCATAGAAAATGAAAGAGTAAGAGCTGATTGCAGAGAACCAATTTCATAGAACAAACTAGAACACTACTTGGATATAGAAATACTCTGACAAGGCCAGAACAATATAGCAAAATTAAGAAACAAGTCCCAGCAATTATTTTAGATCCTAAATAAGGCACACCAAAAATTTGACACTTTTTTTTTTTTTTTTTTTTTTTTTT